CCCATCGAAGCCGTTCGAAGTCGTCACCGACGCCTCTGATTTCGCCATCGGAGCTGTGCTCCTCCATGATTTTGGGAACGGACTGCAACTGATTGCTAACGAGTCACGCAAGCTGCAGGCAGCCGAGCGCAACTACCCGATTCACGACAAGGAGATGCTCACCATTATTCACGCGCTCAAATTGTGGCGCTGCTACTTGGTGGGCGCCGACGTCACTGTTCGCACGGACCACAAGTCCCTACAGTACCTACGAGCTCAGCCCAACCTCAACCCGCGACAAATTCGGTGGCTGGATTACATGGAGAGCCACTTCACCTACCACATCACATACAAGAAAGGGGCGAATAACATCGCCGACGCCCTGACTAGACCGACAGTTCAATCCGCTGCAGTACTCATCACCCACTTGAACCCCCTACTAACGGAACTATTCACCCACGGCTACACTACGGACCCGTTCTTCACGACTGGGAATCACCAACAGGCGACGACGCAGAAGGGGAATTATTACCTAAAAGCCGGAACTGACCGGGTTTGGGTCCCCGCTTATCGACTGCTGCGTGAACTCCATATCCAGGAGGTCCACGATTCTAACCTCTCCTGACATTTCGGGGTTGATAAAACCCAGAAGCTGTTGCACAGTCAATATTATTGGCCTGATTCTGCTAACGACGTACACCAATATGTGTCCTCATGCAGGGTGTGCCAAGCCATGAAATCAACATGTCAGCGGCCAGCTGGACTGCTGCAACCCAAGCCACCCGAACGACCATGGCAACAGGTGACGATGGATTTCGTCACGGGGCTACCAGCTGGGCCATCCGGCAACGACGCTGTTCTTGTCGTCGTCGATCGCCTCACGAAAATGGCGAACTTCGCACCGTGTCGTACAACAATCACATCCGAAGAAACTGCGCGCCTCTTCATCTCGACCGTCGTGCGACTGCACGGAATCCCCGCGGCGATCATCAGCGACAGGGACCCGAAGTTCACTTCGAAATTGTGGAAGGAGACGTGGGCGCAGTACGGCACGAAGCTACGGTTCTCATCGGCATACCACCCGCAAACGGACGGCCAGACCGAGCGAACCAATCAGACGATGGAGCAGCTGATCGGGACAAACTGCCCCGACCCTGCTCGCTGGGAAAACTCATTTGCCATGTTGGAGTCCGCGCTCAACAACGCCCCGTCCAGCACTACTAATCACTCCCTGTCCTTCTTAAATTACGGGATGGACCCGACGGTTCCTACGACGACTACACTCGACAACCCGGTCCCTCGGTCACAAACATTTGTGACGGAACTGCAGGAAGTTTGTGAGAAGGCTGCGGATGCAATCCGCAAGGCGAATACCACATCCGCAAATACACCGACCTTCTACGACGAGAATTCGTCTTGGCAGCTGGGCAACTAGTGCTACTCGACACGAAAAACCTGCACCTGTCCGGCCAGTCGAAGTTATGGCCACGATTTTGTGGCCCTTTGAAATCACTAAGATGGTGACACTTGTCACCCCGAAGCTGCTGCTACTCGACAACCGGCGTATACATGACGCCTTCCATGCCAGCCTCCTTCGCAAGTTCGTGCATGTCACGACAGATATCGCGCGCCAGAACGCCGCCCCGACGGCCCAACCTGTCCCGGAACCGACACTTGATTCGTCCAAGATTTTGGCGCATCGTGTTCGAATCGACGCTTCTGGACGCCACGTGGATTTTCTAATCCGTTGGACTGACCGCACCAGTGAGGACGACACATGGGTGCCATCCGCCTCGCTTGAAGCTTCTCCGCTTCTTGGTGATTACCTCACCCGCAAGCGAGCTGCGGATATTGACCACCTTTCTTAAAACGGGGGGTAGTGTAAGGCAAACCCCTTTTCCTTACAAGGGTTTACTCAACCGCATACAACCCAAACTTTCGGAAGTGCACGTTCGGCTACTTTGCTTGCTGCCGAAGCAACCTCGCGTCGCCTTCGGCTTTCCTTTGCCCAACCTGCACCCAACCTCGTGTCCCGGAGGTTCCCGCCTAGCTAGGTTGACCCACTATATTAGCGCGTGCCTTCATTGTATTGTCAGTTCATTGAGTCACATCTTCGTTATTCGTTATTCCGCGCACTCTCTTTTACAACTCATGACACAGAATATAGTTAAAATGAACTCTTTCAAGGGATTCAACCTCTACTCAACCGTTTTGATGTAAACATCGAATCTTGTCTGAAATTCGCGTTGCGACACTCGCCTCCAGGGCTCTCTTCATCGCGATCCAATCGGAACCCAATCTGGCACAAGCTCGTTCGCTGATTCCTAAGAACGTTGCACGCCGGCAACATTCTTAGGAACTGATGCTTACCAGCAACTAATGTTATTCTTGTTGTCGTCACATCACCAGAAATAACAGCAAGACAAAAAACATAACAAGCCAAAACCTAGAACTGTTGCCGGAAGTCGTGAAAACTGTAGAACAGCAGTGCCCTGAACCCACGACAGCCAAGAGCGAGTCGCGGAATGGCAGTCGCACAATTCGCGGTTGACGACAGGGAGACCATCGATGGCGGCGCTCGACGAATGCCATTGGCTGATGTGTTGTGGTCACTGGTCACCTCAGCTCCAGGGCCTTCCTCCTTTCCGCGCGCGGAGAGCGAGGTTCAAAACGATGTCCCCGCTCTAACAAGGTGGAATGTTCCCTTTTGAAAGGTCCGACCTTAGACGCGCGGAAGCCATGGCTCGTCTCTCCCTCGCGCTACTACTGCTGCTGCTGGCAGGTAAGGCGTAAGGTTTGGGTAGACACGTGACGGAGGGCACATAGTAGGTTTGGTGCACGTACTACTACGGCATAGCACGGCATAGTACCTGCTTGATTCGGAACGTAGTACAACGGCTAAGCCCTGGCCACCAAGTCCTGCGGAACCCTAGAACTAGGGAATTGCTTATGAACTTGCTGCTCTTGAGCCGCTCAAAAGACATTTTCTTTCGCCAGCGCACTGACTGGGCTTGGGGAGTTTCTTTCTACTGCTCCGTTTTAGGCAAAGGGTTTCGCTGTTCTTGCTGCTCTGCTGTGCCGTGCTGTGCCCTGCGCTGCGCTGGAGCTGTGTTGCGTGCTGCGTTTATCTAATTGTCTGTGCTCCCTTCTGACGGTGCAGGCCCTTCGTTGGACCTTCTGACCACAACGCGCCCCGGGCCTGCACTGGCCGTAAGTGCACTGCCGCATGTCCCTCCGCTCCGTTCCGGTTGACTTATTCAAACCCTTTCACGTCATGTGGCAACGATTGGTAGCAACGCAAGTGCGCTGCTGCCGCATGTCCCTCCCCATTCCCGCTTCGTGTCCGTTTTTGTTTCTTTTCCCCTGTCGCATGGCCTCATGATCTCAAGCATTACATTGCTACATTTCGCTACATGCAGCCACATGTCAGCGTGCAGCCACATGTCAGCGTGCAGCCACAGCAGTGATTGGTGGCAGCAAGGAAGGGTTGGAGTGCAAAGCTCTCAAGTTGAGTCGTCTCAGTGCCTGCCGCCCTTTCTCGTTCCACTCGTTCCATGCAGCATGCGAAAACGATCCTGGTTGGCGGCAAGAAGGGCTGGCCTGGCATCAAGTCTTGGACTCAACCGTTTATCTCTGGCAATGATGTCTTAGGTTCGTGTTACAATGTTACTACGGATGCGTTTACAGCTAGACAAGCAAGCAATGAGGCTTCAGTCAATCTCTTTACATGATCCCTCTCTCTCTCTCACCTTCTTTGATTTGGCATTTGGTCTATTCTTTATTCACTTCAAGTAAGCGGCCGTTCACCATCACCATGCTTTCAGAACAAAGGAACAGCACCCTGCTTTGCAGCATGCAACAGAGCACCAAACATGTGATTCTCTCTGCTTCGTTTTCTTGGCGCATGTCTGTCGCCCTTATCTCATCTCTACCTCCCTTCCCCGTCTGCAGTCTTCAAGTGGGGCAGCTCATCAGTCTCTGGCCCCAAGCACAACGTCGCGCTGGCGACAGATGAGGCAGCCATGCTTGCCTGCAATACCAAGTCCGTCTTTGTAGAGCTTGTCAAGCCCAAGCGCAAGGGCGTATATCGTGTTGCGCTTCAGAGGAGTGCTCACTTTTTCTTCAGCACTGTGGGGAAGGATTGTGCTGCCAAGGGCATGAAGCTGCAGTATTCGGCTGCTTAGTTGTCTTTTGTGTAGTCTGCTCGGGTGCTGCTCACAGGTGCTTCAGCGCTGTGGGGAGGGACTGTGCTGTGAAGGGTATGATGCTGGGGATTGATTGGCTTCTCTTAGTTGCCTCTTATGTCAACTTAAAAGCTCACCTTGTCTTTTGTGTCGACTCAAAAGTCTCTGAATGCGCACACCTGGGGATGCTCACAGGTTCTTCAGCACTGTAGGAAAGGACTGTGCTGTTAATGGCATGCAGCTGGGGGTTGCCTTTTCCTAGTTGTGAGGCATGTGTCTGCAATGTGTGTCATGCAATGCAATGAGTTCATGCTGAGCACCAGGAGCTTAGGAAAGGCTAGGAAGTATAGAATGGAGGAAGAGGGTCTTGCGTGAGGAAGCCTGCACAGGCCTTTGTGATCATTTATGCCATCCCTTGGGCTCTCACAATGCTGGGGCTTGCAGCGCCTTGCTTGGTGTGAGCATTACCTTTGAACCGAAACCTTCGTTACCTAATTTACATCATATACCCTCCTCAGCAGCGCTGCCCTGCTGAGACTTACCGGTACAGACAATGATGGTGTGAAAAGGTGATCCATATTCAGAAAAATAGCTCCCCAGTGCCTTGCAAATTGGGCTTGCATTGCTTACTGTCTGTCAACTCACACAAATCTACCATGTAAGGCAAATCAAGTGCATAAGAAAATCAAGTTCTTAACCACTGGCAAGCCAGGACATGCAGCAGGAGTGGAGCAGCAGTCCGGTGCATCCAGTAACAACCAGCCCTGTTGCTGTGTGCCTTGCCCTCCACTTGCACTGCACGCCTGCCCTCCTCCACCCCTGCTCCCTCTTTGGCTATCAGCAGAACAGATCGCACCACATTACCACCAACCTATGGGATGGGATGTGAGGGAGATTTGGCATCTGTGGCATACATGCCCCCGCACCCGCACCCCCCTCGCCTGCACCACCCTCGCCTGCACCCCCCTCGCCTGCACCCCCCTCGCCTGCACCCCCATTGCTCGCACCACTCTCGACATCTTGCTTGCTCAGCGTCCTTGACACATCGGCACCCTTCTTCTCGTCAACTCAAAAACCCTGCAAGTGTCCCCCTCTCACTACTCCCCCTCGCCTCTCACTCCTCCACTCGTTTCTCACTCCCATCGAATTCTTCACTCCCCTCACCCTTGCCGCTGTGCCACCAAGAGCCCTTGAAGGCGCAGCAAGAGCGCTCGCAGGTGGGCGGCAACGTCCGGACCGAGGAACCGGCTGGCGATGGCTTGCAGCTGGGCGGCAAGGATTGGACCCACTAGGCGGTCGATGAACAGTTGCACTTGGGCGGCGATGTCTGGGCCGAGGAGGAGCAGCAGGAGGTCTGAAGCGGAGAGGAGGAGCGCGATGGCGAGCAGGGCGAGGGCTGTGAGTATGAGGCAAGTTACCCAGCCTGGTGGGGGTGGGGAGGGGCGTGTGTGGAGAAGGGGGGGAGGAAGGGGGGGGGGGGGAGAAGAAGGTCTGAAGCGGAGAGGAGCTGGGCCGAGGGCTGTGAGAATGAGAAGTGCTACCCAGGCTGGTGGGAGGTAGAGAGGGGTTGATGGCAAGAGGGCATGTAGGGACGGGGACAAGGGGTTGGAAAAGTGTGTCCACGTAAATAGATGCAGGGAAAAAAAAAGCGAAGAATAGATGTAGCAGTGAGGGAAAATAGGGGTTGCAGGGACGTTGGCCAATATTATCATTGATCCCCGCCAAGAAGTTTGACTGAGAGTGACTGACAGGTCCCAATGATTCTTGTGAAAGTTGCACCAAGGTTTGGCTTGGAGGGAGATGTGGTGAGCGCGAAAGGGTGGAGGGAGAGGGCAGACGTGCATGAATGCAAGCACCCCAACGGAGAGCCCATCACCCCACCGCACACCACCCCACCGCACATCACCGCACCGCACATCAACCCACCACACATCACCCCAATGGAGACCCAGCACCGACCTTGGCCGGCGGGCTTGGCAGCAACAGCCGTGACACGCGCACTGGAGTCACCCGACACTGACAGCAATGCCCTGGGGTGGGAAGAGAGGGGGAGAGGAGGAGGTGAGGTGTGTGGGGACGTGGGGGCGTGAGGTGTGGGCATGGGCTGGGCTTGGCAGCGACAGCCGTGACTCGCGCACTGGAATCTCCATTGGGGTGATGTGACACGCGACAGCTGTGACACGACACTGACAGCAGCGCCCTGAGGGGAGGAGGTTGGGGGGGGGGGGAGTGTGGGAACGTGGGGGCGTGGGGTGGTGGGGCATGGGGTGGTGGGGCATGGGGTGTTGGGGCATGGGGTGTTGGGCATGGGGTGGGGTTGGCACGGACGGCCGTGACATGCGCACTGCAGTCACCAGACACGACACTGACAGCAGCGCCCCGAAGAGAGGGGGGGGCAGGGGGGGGTGGTGTGGGTACGTGGGGTGCTGGGGCATGAAGCGGGCTTGGGCTTGGCTACCACATCCGTAACAGACGCACTGGAGTCATTCGAGACTGACAGCGGAGGAGGGCGAGTGGTGTGACATAAGCCTCTGATGCCCTGTGTGCACGGATGTGGCACAGTGCGTTGGCTCCTACTCGCAATGTGCCCTTGAATGCCTCAACCATCATGTCGTGACTCTTAGTTTGGTTTTGCACCGCATCAACTGTTGAGGCCCACAAAAGTCGCCTCCATCCCCAACGCACCTGGAGTCGGGTGAGAAGTCGAGTGTGGTGACACAGACCAGATGCGCCACACCCTCCCCCCCCCCACCCCTCCGTACACAGTCCCCTCATTGCTCGCCTTGCCTCCACGGCCATGTGTCCAGGCGCTAAGGCCCCTTGATTGCAGTGCACTCGCCTCATTCAGCGCACCTGGAGTTGGGCGAGAAGTCGAGCGTCGTGACAAAGACCAGGTGCGCCCCCACCACCCATCCCCCCCCCCCATTCACAGTCCCTCATTGCTCGCCGTACCTCCACTGCCACGTGTCTGCACGTTAGTTCCCACGGCTCCCAATAGCACTCGCCTCATTCAGCGCACCTGGAGTTGGGCGAGAAGTCGAGCGCCGTGACAAAGACCAGGTGCGCCCCCACCACTCTCTGCCTCACACTCAGCGTGCGCGCATCCACTATGAACACATTCCCCTCTGGTGTGCCCCTGTGGATAGACACGCACAGACAGCACATACACAGCACACCCCACACAGACAGGGGCATGAGAGGGGTAGCAGGGAGACGGGACGCGCCCAGACCACTTTCTGCCGCACAGACAGCGTGAGCGCATCCACTATCAACACGTTGCCCTCTGGTGTGGCCCTGTGGATAGGGAGCGTGCACACAGCACAGACAGGCATGTGAGAGGGAGAGCAGGCAGGCGAGAAAGAGCAGGCGAGGTCCCATCTGTAATCCGCTATAGAGATGTTGCCCTCGGGTGTTCCTCCATGGATACACGCATGCACAATGCACACATGCGAGTGGCAGAACGGAAGCTCCAGCCTATGTGGCGAGCAGCCTACGCGTCAAGCAGGCAAGAAACAGCCAACGTGGGATGGCAGAGATGGGGTTGTTGTGGATCTTCCTCACTGCCATCAGCCTACGTAACAAGCAGCCTACGTGACAAACAGCCTACGTGACAAACAGCCTACGTGGCAAGCAGCCTACGTGACAAGCAGCCTACATGACAAGCAGCCTACGTGACAAGCAGCCTACGTGACAAGCAGCCTGCGTGACAAGCAGCCTACGTGACAAGCAGCCTACGTGACAAGCACCCTACGTGGCAAGCAGCCTACGTGGCAAGCAGCCTACGTGGCAAGCAGCCTACGTGGCAAGCAGCCTACGTGGCAAGCAGCCTACGTGCAAGCAGCCTACGTGACAAGCAGCCTACGTGGCAAGCAGAGAGGAGTCGGGGCTGATAGCAAAGGCGGAGATGGGGTCGTTGTGGATCTTCCTCACTGCCACCCGCTTCCATGCTGCCGTCTCCCACACCACCACCCACCCCTTGCCGCCTGCCACAGGGGGGGAGAAAGGGAGCAGGGGAAAAATGTGGTTTGGTGGGATGATGGGACAAGTGAAGAGGAGTATTTTGACCGAACACGGCCAAATGGACGCCAGAGTTACTCACAAGTGAGAAAAGAAAACCACTATCAGCTCTCAAGCCACTCAAAAACCACAGTCAACAGCTACATACAACAAAATCCGCTCCTCTTACCCTCACCCTTCCATCCCTCTCAGCCTTTCCCCCCTCTCTCTCACCCTTAACGCAGGTGGAGTAGAGCAGCGGCTTGCTGCGGTCCCTCTCAACCACCCCTTCAGCCTCCACTCTTTCCTCACCCTTCACTCGTTCCCCCCTCTCTCTCACCCTTAACGCAGGTGGAGTAGAGCAGCGGCTTGCTGGGGTCGCGGGAGAAACGGCACAGCCCAAAGCGCGCCCCTCCCTGAGGGGCGTGGGGAGGGGGAAAGAGGGGTACGTGAGGGGCGGTGGAAGGGGGAGGAGAATGCAAAGGGAGCAGCACGACAGGACAGGTGCGCTACACCAAGGGAACAGCACGTTGTGTCAAATGCTCTGCCCTGGGGTAGCAGCTGATTCCGCCTGTTTGCAGGGCAAGCACGATACTGTGCAAGCAGTGGTGTGGTGTGGTGTGGGCGGCTGACCAAGCACACGGGAGACCGGGAGTGCTGACCCCAGAAAATAGGGAGCTGACTTCAGCAATACAGAGTGCTGACCTCAGCAATACAGAGTGCTGACCTCAGCAATACAGAGTGCTGACCTCAGCAATACAGAGTGCTGACATCAGCAATGGAGAGCGCTGACCTCAGCAATGGAGAGCACTGACCTCAGCAATGGAGAGCGCTGACCTCAGCAATGGAGAGGGTGGCAAGTGCTGTCCCCTTGCGCACGCTCCACACCCTCAGAGGGCCCGTGTCTGCCGTGGTGGCCACCAGTGAGCTTTCCAGGCTGGCACAGTGCAGGGGAGAGGGGGGCGTGAGGGGTGTTGGGGGGAAGAGGGGGGGAATGGGGAGAGGGGGAAAGGTCCGCTTGGTCGCCACTAGTGAGCCGTCCAGGCTGGCAAGTTGGGGCAAGGCGGGGGTTTGTGAGGGGAGGTGAGGGGAGAGGGCGGGGAGGAGAAGGGGGAGGAGAGGGAAAAAGGGGAAAAAAGGGGGGAGACTAGAAACCCATCTCATGGGTGTTGTACAGCTGCACAGCACCCATGATATGGGTTGCACAGCACCCATGATATGGGTTGCACAGCACCCATGATATGGGCTGCACAGCACCCATGATATGGGTTGCAAGGGGACGCATTTGACATGCACATCTCTCAGGGTGGACATGGCAACTTCCATGCTGGGCCATCCCGCATGTCCGCCCACAGCACCATCCCGCATGTCCGCCCACAGCACCTCACATCACACACATACAGGCGCACTTTCTATCCCTTCAGCATGGAACGTACTTAATATCCGCATCTCTGAGGGAGGAGGTGTGGGCACGAGGCACGTCCATCAGCACGTCCATGCTGGGCCACTCAAACACGCGCACACGCCCATCCTCACTCCCCGCCACCACTCTGCACCCATCCGCACTGAACAGCAAACACTTCACCTCCGCTGCCGTCTCCCCTTCCTCCCCTTTCCCCTTTTTCTCCCCTTTCTCCCCCTCATCCTTTCCCCCATTCCCGTTGCCCCCCTCGCCCGCCCCTTCCCCTTCTCCCCCAACTCCCTCCCCTTTTTCCTCCCCCTCCTCCTCCTCCTCCTCCCGTGGTCCCAGCCATTTGAGGCGCACATCGCTCGGCACCAGCTGCAGCTGCGCCAGAGGCACCGCCTCCTCGCTCCCCCTTCTCGCCGCAACCACCTCCCCTCCCCTCTCCGCCCCTGCGCCTCCCTCCTTCCCCTCCACTTCCTCTGCCTTGCCCGCTGTGCCACCCTCGCCCTCCCCTGGCGTCACTTGGAAGAGACTGGGCTAGCGGGCGGGGCAAGGGAGGCGGGCAAGATGGAACACGGGGGGAAGGGAGGCGGGCAAGATGGAACACGGGGGGAAGGGAGGCGGGCAAGATGGAACACGGGGGGAAGGGAGGCGGGCAAGATGGAACACGGGGGGAAGGGAGGCGGGCAAGATGGAACACGGGGGGTAAGAGGGCGGGACGAGGATGGAAATGGGGAGGAGGGGGTAGAAGACAGGGTGGGGGGAGGAGGAAGAGGGGAGGTTGGGAGGGAAGGAGACGCGTTGGTAAGTGGAAGTTTGGAAGAGGCAGCGTCATTTGGAACAGGTTGGTCTCAAGAGCGAGAAGAGTTGGTGGCAGGCTGCAACAAGGGGGAGGGGGGGGAGAAGGGGGAGAAAAGTGGGAGAAGGGGGAGAGAAGGATGAGAGAAGAGAGGGGGGGGAGAAAAGCGCGGAAAGAAGGGAGAATGGGGAAAAGGGGGAGCGTAGGAAGAGAGATGGGGGAGAGGAGGCAGAGAGAGAGGGGGGAGGGAAGGAAAAGAGAAGCGGAGAGGGGCGGGCAGGCGGGTCACACCGGCAGGCGTCAGCGAAGGCAGCGATTAGTCCGTCGCCGTTGGGGTGGGCGGTGATCTTGAACGCGGGGTTGACGCCCGTTGACAAGCTGAACACCTGCCACGCGTGGTGGTGCAGCGCGGTGCAGAGCGGCGCAATGATGCGGAAGGGGAGGGAAGGGGAACGATGAGTAGTGATATTGAGGCGCCTGGAGGAGTCCCAAACAGCCCAAAACTGCCTCGACCTTCCCAACTTTGGTTGGGAAAAAACTGTCAACTTTGCGAAAGGTGGGAACGATTTTCGCAACCCGAAATTACTGTACTGGCGACGACGACAGCCGTGAGGATTTCGCCTCTTTTTTTTTAGTCCGCTATACCGAAATTCTACGCGAAAGGGGTTCACGAGTTGCACTTGGGATCTGGTAACTCTCGCGACCACTACATCACTCAACGACCCTCAGCTTCCTATTTCGACACCTCCCTAATTCGCGAGCCAGTTGCCGCTCTTTCCCCAACCAACCTTCCTAACTTCGAGACCTGTGAGTCTCCGGTTTTAACACGTGGACAGGACGCAGTGGAGGCACGGCGAGCAATGACGGGAGTGCGGTGCGGATGGGGGAAATGATGGGGAGGGCGGGAGATGGGGGTGGGGGCTACGTATTTCGCTGGTGCAGCGGGGCGGAGATGTGACGCGGGGGGTTGAGCGCATGGGGCGGCGGGCTGGCGCACTCTGGCACCGAATGCGGCGGATCGGGGGAGGGGGAAGGGGGAATGCGCGACGGCGCTGGTGCGCATCGACGCTAGCGCGCAAACAAGCACACGACGCTAACGTGCGGTGCACGCGGAAACGGGCGGTCGATTGTAATGGATGTGTGAAGGGCGCGAATGGCGTCCGTGTCATGCAGTGCCACGTCACCTCCGAGAGCTCATCGGCCGCGAAGCTGTATTTGCACGCGATGATCTTGCTCTTGATGCCGTGCCGCCCCGCGCCGCCGCCCCCCGCCAGCACCACCAGCCCCTCCTCGCCCTGCGCGCCCGCCGTGAGACCCTTCGTGGGCGCCCACGCGCCGCAGAAGAGCGGAAAGCCGAACTGCTTCTTCACTCTGGAGTCGTCGGGCCGCGCCGGCGCCATGCTGGTTGGTTGCAATAAAATTTCGCTAAAATATATGCTTGTGGGAATTGGTGCTCAATTTTTTCACACGGGTCATTTGGGTGGGATAGTGGCATTCGAACTGGGCTGGACGTTGTGTGGTCACTCATACACCATATGGGACTCCTCAGGCTGAAAACAAATCGGCTGCTAGAATCCCAGAATCACCTTCTTATACACGGCATTGGATTGAGAAGACGAAATTTGTTGATAATCTGTCAGAATTTTCTTATCGTGTTGAAACAAGACCTTTGTCGCATCCTCTCTTCATGCACAAATGGAGTAGGCCCAGGGCCAAGCGTAACAACCTTTGAGCATCTCCAGGATGCCACTCGCCGCGACTCTAACGTCGCCAATCGAGGGCTGACGTTTCAAATTAAGCCTCCCTGAATCCGGAAAAAACATTCCCCTTGTATTACGGGTGCATGTTCTCTACAGGTTCGTTACTCTGACTGCTCAGTGTTGAACTCTGATTGTTCAGGGTCGAGAATTGAACATCAGAGTAGTAACGCGCTCTTTGTTTAACGGGGAAAAATGTCTCACTCCGCGTAATCACAACACAACACAACATCATTTCGGGCACACTTTGTGCGCTCTAATTTCGACCCCTTTATTTTTGCAATTTTGTATTTCTCCACACGTTTTGCGTGTTATGCGTGTTGAACTAAAAGAAGAGGAATGATCGACTAGGTCAAAGGGTGGTGTACAAGAGAGTATCGAGGGAATTGATGTACCCCCTTACATGCAAATCACTATAGGCTAGATAACTAAAGTGAATACAATTTTGACACACCCCTATAGCCTAAGTGAGGTGCATGAAAAACGACTAAGACAATCTAATGGTCACAAGATCAGTCAAGAGAAGCAAACAAAGCAAAGTCCAGAGTGGATCTCAAGATCACCACGCAGTCTGAGCACGAGCAAGCGACCACAAGGCCAGTTCACATGCAGAGTTATAAAAGCACGAACAGTATAGTGATCTCAACCTAGCAAGACCAGGCATGCAGTTATATATATAGAGATCACAGTACAAGGCAAAGTCAAGCAATCAGTAGGTGAGGCAGAGTGGGCAGAAGCCCAAGAGCAGTGCAGAAACGTCGATGATCACCAGACCCAAAGACCTTGGTGAAGAAATCAGCAGAATGGCCCGAGAGGCCACGTAGGAAAGGCGGAGTTGACCACGTCTGCTGCAGCTCTCGAGCAAGAAAGTAGCGAAGAGCAACGTGCTTCGTTCTGTGCTCCAGTCTCTGCTCGTGACACAAGGCAAGCATGGCCTTGTTGTCGACGTACAAAACTGGAGGAGAACGAGGCCGCTCCCCCAAGGCGGTCAGTAGGTAGGTCACCAAGCGTAGCTCCTGTGCAGCCATAGCCCCAGCGTAGATCTTGGCCTCACAGCTAGAACCAAGCACAGAAGAAGAACGAGTGGACCTTCACGAGACATGACCAGAGCCAAGACTGGAGGTGTAAACATGTGACGAACGCTGAGTCGCCTGGTCGTCGGCCCAAGAAGCGTCAAGGTGTCCTGTGAATACCACTGAACCCCGTCCTCCAACCACGAGCCCCATGCCCGATGTACTGCACAAGCAACACAGTACCCTCTTCGCAGCATCCCAGTGCATCTTTCGGTGTCTACCGGGAGCCACGTAGCGAGATACGAGGCTGAGAGGGTACGCAAGGTAAAGTCGTGTGCACGTCATCAAGTATATGAGGCAACCCACAAGCTCTGGATACGAACCACTCGGCTCTACGGACTCACCCGAAGGTGGAGCTCAGAGCGAGTGGCCAGTAGGCAGATGAGTAGGCTGTGGCGAGGAGTACTGGAAGAAGAAGCGCTGAAGAACCTGGTGCACCATGTGTGACTGAGTCAGGGTGATGGTGCGCTGTGCTCTGTCCCGGGTGATCTACAAGCCAAGATAGCTCCACAGCTCACCCAGGTTAGTGCAGGTGTCTCTCCTCATACAGCTCCGCCTTCACTAGGGCCAGCGCCTCAGTGTCAGTAGTAGCAAAAACCAAGTCGTCGACGTACACGAGAACGTAGAACGGCGGCAGAGTAGTGTTGATGCGTAGAAACAGCGACGAGTTTGCAGAGGAAGGAGTAAACCCAAGAGCCGCAAGTGTCGTCCTCAGTGTGTCGTGCCACTCGCGGGGCGCCTGGCGGAGACCGTAGACTGGCCGCCCGAGACTCCACTGGGTACCCGCAGGAAACGACCCAGTGAAACTAGGTGGGCGGCGAAGCCAGATCTCCTCGGGAAGGCTGCCCTGCAAGAAAGCTGTGGAGAAGTCGAGGGAGTGCAGCTCGTAGTGACGTGCTGCATCGTGCAGCAACACCCGAAGAGTAGTCATCTTCGGGGTGGGGGAGAAGGTCTTCGGGGTGGAAGTGGTCGACCCTTTGTTGCTGACTGAAGCCTCGAGCAACGTAACGCGCCTTGAAGGCAAGTGGAGAAACCGGCGGCCGCTTCACTCAGAAAATCCACATGCCATCGACTATGTTCACCCCGGGAGGAGGAACCTCGTCGACGTAGGTGCCTGTGGACTTCCAGGAAGCCATCTCTACGTCCATGGCTGTCTGGCACTGAGAGGAGTACTCACCCGCGATTGCCTCAGCGTAAGAGCGCGGGGTAGGGATGTTAAGAGCATCCGGGTCTCCCTCGGGGCAAAGCGGCATGGATGCAAAACGAAGTAAAGCGGCCGCGAGACACTCAACCTCAAACTGCCTGTCCTCAAGGACGTCACTGCCAAGGGCAAGCTCTGTCAGAGGTCCACTGGTGATCCCGGATTGATCCTAGAGAAGGGTTACAAGCACGTTGGCCTGGGGGGTTATGGGCGCACTGACCCGCTACTTAACAAGCCCTTTTATCCCAATGGTCTAGTGGTTGGGATTCTGACATGGTATCAGAGCGAAGGTCTCGAGTTCGAATACCGGTGCATGCACTTCGGGCATCCCAGTGTGGGGGGGTGTCAGAGGTCCACTGGTGATCCCCGATTGATCCTAGAGAAGGGTTACATGCACGTTGGCCTGGGGGGTTATGGGCGCATTGACCCGCTACTTAACAAGCCCTTTTATCCCAATGGTCTAGTGGTTGGGATTCTGACAGGCTCACCCCCGACGGACGAAGGACAGACAGACTTTGACCCAGTAACAAGACCCGCGACGTAGTCGAGACGACTCCTAGCTGCAAAGTCGACGAGCTCAGTGACTAGGGGAAACGCAGCAGTGGACTCAAAGCTAGGGTCAGTGACGAAAGTAGCGAGGAGACGAATGAAAGTAGGACTGGCAGTACAAGTAAGGTCGAACTCTGGGTCAGGAACGTCATGAAGAGAGGACGCCGGAGGAGATGGCAGGGCAACACGCTGTGGAACAGAGGAAGGACGAAGTGCCATAACGTGAGTGCCTGGGACAGCAGGAGGAAGAGGACGTTCGACACGACGATCACGAGCAGGTGTGGAAGCACGAGTCTCAGGCTCACGATGCTTAGTCAGGGACTCAGTCACCTCAGTGTGAGGAGCAGGAGCAGACAGTGGGGAGCCAGGCAATAGCTGTGGTTGAGACAGGTCTATCGGTGAACACAGGAGAGGTAGATTGAGGCCAATGGAAGCAGAAGACTAAGAACCTGGCGAAGGACCGAGTCCAGCGGCGGCAGGGACGACTGCGGCTGCGGGTAGAAAAACGGTCGGCGCGTAGCAGTACTCGTACCGTCAGAAGCTCCAGCACTGATGGCACCAGCAGCTCCAGCACCTCCAGCACTAGCACTACTACTAGTGCTGGCAGCTCCAGCACCTCCACTACCTTCAGTACCTACAGCTCCAGCGCCTCGAGCACCAGCAACACCTCCAGCACCTCCAACACCAGCAGCGCCACCAGCTCCAACAGCTCCAGCACCTCTAGTACGAGCACCTCCAGGACCAACAGCTCCAGCACCTTCAGTACCTCCAGTACCTTCAGCTCCAGCACCTCCAGTAGCACCTCCAGCAAATCTAGCACCAGCAGCACCATCAGCTCCAGCAGCTCCAGCACCTCTACTACGAGCACCTTCAGGACCAGCAGCTCCAGCACCTTCAGGACCTCGAGTACCTCCAGCTCGAGCGCCTCCGGCACTAGTAGTACCTCAAGCACCTCCAGCACCAGCAGCTCCAGTAGTACCTCCAGCACCAGCAGCACCTCCAGCACCTCCAACACCAGCAGCTTCGGCACCTGCAGCACCTGCAGCAATACCTCCAGCCCCAGCAGCTCCACCACCTCCAGCACCTTGAGTAGTACCTCCAGCACCAGCAGCTCCAGCACCAGCAGCACCTCCAGCAGTACCTCCAGCACCAGCAGCTCCAGCGTCTAGAAAACTCCAAGCTCCAGCACCAGAGCGGCCTCGCCGAACGACCCACTCACGAAGCTGCTGCGGTGAGGGCGTCTCGAGTCGACTAGGCGGCTGCTACTGTCCAACGCCAGGACCTGCAGTAGGAGCACCTACGGCTCCACCACCAGTAGGACTCGCACCACCCCTAGAGTCAGCACCCCCAAAACCCTCACCCCCAGTCTCAGTACCCCCAGTCTCAGCACCCTCAGAACCCTCATCCCCAGTATCACCACCCCCAGCAGTACCAGTGTCCACAGCTACAGGCTGCAGGGGCAGCGAAGTCGGTCGAGATGGAAAACCAAGAGGGGTTCCCAAGCGTGGAGAGTGGCTAGGGGCCGCCGTGTCGTCACTGGTAGGGTCACCTCCCTCAGCGGGGCTAGAGGAGTCAGAAGAGATCTTCAGAGGCTCAAGCAAGGGGGGTGGGTCTACCTGAGACACACCTAAGGGAGCGGGACCCTGTGGGGGGAGGGGGTCTACCAGAGGGGGAACTGGTACCAGGAAGAGAGGCGCCAGGGGGACCGGATGGGACGCATGCGGGTGGAGCCTATAGAAACAGACTGACTCGTCAAAGGTGACGTCCTTGGAGGAGAACACGCGAAGCTCGCGAGGGTGGTAAAACTGCCACGGTGGGGC